GCAACTCAGAATATGATGCAAACCTGCAATAATTAAATGTTAAACAACACAAATATCCTTTATATATTTAATCTCATTCTATTTCTTTGCTTCTGACCTTCGATGATCCAGTTCAACCATACGCAAAAATTACTTTAGACAAACATTTGTGTCTTTTTTTATTAAGTTTTTTATATATATTTTATTCTATTTCAAATAATATTTTTTTTATGGTTTTGGTTTCAGTTTTAGTTTTCGTTAACTATAATAACCCTATCATGCACTGTATCTTTTAACCCAAAAACATAAAAAATGCAATCCATAATTAAAAATACAAATAAAACCTGTCAAAAATCAATAAGGAAAATTCCTTCATATTAATTCTATTTATACAAACTTTTCTGACAGTGTGTAATAAAAATATTTACTTTATTATATATATATATATATATATATATACTATACAGTGTGTGTGTGTGTGTGTGTGTGCAGTGTTGGGGGTAACGCATTAAACTAGTGTATATGTGTGTGTGTGTGTGTGTGTGTGTGTGTGTGTGTGTGTGTGTGTGAGACTAATAGGGCTTTTCAAGGGCATGAGAACTGGAAAGCAAAATGTTGATATTTCACATTCTTTTGTCTATCACAGATATTTAATGCTGTAGTGAAATAGACGATGGAAAGATATATTTGGTATGATTAAATGGTGTGGATGTATGGTATATTTAATTTGTGATATGATAATACCACCTGCAGTCATAGTTTTACATGTAGGATTGTGAAGTTGTGTGTCTGTTTGTGTAATCTATTTAACTGACAGATTTTATAATTCTCTGCATTCTCATCTTTTTGTGTAGTGCCACTCAGTTTGCATTGATTTTGATCAGAAATAACTCTGAAGTCACCAGAATAATGATCTGTTATTGTCTTTTATCTTTTTTAGTTCTTGATGAATGCAATATTTGTTAATATTGACATTTGCTGTTTGAGAATTGTGAGGAGTTTCAAGCTCTTACACAGTGTGATAAATGGACATATTTAACTGCACATGCGGTTTGCTGGCCAGCAGGTGGCATCATTTCTTGTGCAGAAAAAAAGGATAATTGGTCAATTAAAAACATCAAACAAGAGAAAAGTGAGTCTGTGTTTTTATGTATGATGGCAATTATGCACATGAATCTTACTGAAAGTAACTACGATTTCTGACTCCCTAAAACTGATTAAATGTTTTATAATCTTAATCATCTTAAATAAATGTAATTTACACTTGGGTTATTATAATTACTAAAACTAATACCATAAAAAAAGTTTCAGTTACACTTTACTTAAAGTCTTAGTATAATATGTATAATGCATAATATTCATAATATACGTTGTAAACCATTATAACTTTTCATAAATAATTGTAACCAAAGTTAAAATTCATAATAGCCTGTCTAAACATATTATCAACATGTAAAAAAAAAAAAAAACTAATAAAATGACCAAAAACACACAACAAAATTACTAAACAATTAAGATGAAAACAGAAACTATAAAAATAAAATTAAATCTAAAATATCAACAAAACCGTATATCAGTAATACTAAAATAACACTGACTTACACCTTCTTAATGTAAATTATATTATATTAAAACTTGTGCTAGAAATATCCAACCAAACAACACAAACCACAGCATTCATTGGTGTATAATATTTATTATTTATAATATATTGAGAGGTACACAAAAGTTTTTCTACAAGAAAACCAAATGACTTACATTTGATTGCCTTTTGTACTTGAGGTAAGGTAGTACAATACATTAGGTTTAGTGTGTCTTAGTGAAACAATACATGAATCAGATACATTTTCAACTATAGCACGTTCAAGTGTCAGGACTCACTCAATGACAAGGATCAAATGACTTGGGGATGTCAAGCTCTGCTAAATCCATTGACCATTGAAATACAAAAATGAATGAATCGGATACGTACAGAATGAGAGAACCCAATAAAACTACTGCTGTGACCAATAAATTAACATAAGCCTAGGTCTAGCAATAGTTAAACCGGATAAAGTAAACAGTAGAGCGTAAGAGCCAGCAGTGGCTTGAGGCTCAGCCTGTGTTTGGATGTACAGTACTAAATCAGCCATCTTCAGCCAGAGGTAACATTCAGTATCGACCTCTGCCACTGCCGGATAATAAATGTCCAATAAAACCTGACGAATAATAAATAATTTTAAGACATGCAATATAATCCTCTGAGCAATAATCAAATAATTTAATATTTCCTTATTGTATCCCACGAACACAGGACATTGTCATGAAGCAGGTATCATTTTTGTAATGCTGACAGTAATGCCATTTTATGGAGCTAGCTTAAGATATAAACAAATACTGATTCAAACTTCCCTTGCTGCAATCCTTGAACAAGCACATTGCCGATGACATGAACAGATGAAAACTTGTGCGGTGGAGACTAGCTAGGAAGCTCGAAGATTACGGCAAGAATGGCAACAAGCCTTGCTGTAATACCAGTGACTGCACAGATTCACCTTCAGAGCCAGCGAGCAGTTGGTGGTGGGACGATCCTGGCAGTTTTCATCTGGAGAAGCAACAAAGGAGTTCAAATTCATGTTATTTATGATTTCTCTGGATCTATAGCAAATGTTTGGTTACTATTAATATGTAAAATTACAGTCAGAGGGCAATGCTTCAAAGTGCATAATTTATATTTAAGGAATAGTTAACCCAAAAATGAAAATTCTGCCATCATTTATCACATTCATGTTGTTCCAAACATGTATAAAATCATGAATATAATGAATGCAATAACGAGGACTAAAAACGGCACATTGATGACATGACACCAATTGCCACATGTCATGTGCCCAAAAATTTAAAAGAAGTAAAGCTATAGAACACCCAATACCGTTCAAAAGTTTGGGATAAAAAAAATTATCTTATCCTCTAAAGGCTGTATTTATTTGATCAAATATACAGTAAAAACAGTAATACTGTGAAATTATTACAATTTAAAAAATAATATACTTTAAAATGTCATTTATTCCTGTGATGGCAAATCTGAATTTTCAGCAGTCTTCAATGTCACATGATTTTTCAGAAATCATTGTAATATACAGATTTATTATCAATGTTGGAAACAGGAGTGCTGTCTAATTTTTTTTTTTTAGGAATCTCTCGTGAATAAAAAGTTAAAAAGAACAGCATTTATTCAAAATAGCATTTTTTGTTACAATACAGGTCTATGCTATCACCTTTTTATCAATTTAACAATATAACATTGCTAAATAACAGTATTAATTTCTTTAAAAAAAAAAGTACTGACTCCATGGTAGTGGGTAGTGAACGGTAGTGTATATTGTTACAAAATATTTCTATTTTGAATAAATTATGTTCTTTTTAACTTTTGTATTGTACAGTATATATGAGATTACGTATAATTATATATATATGAGAGTTGGAAAGCAATGACTTAATAATGACTGAAAATAATTGTCTTTTTCAAGTGAACTGTTTAAGGCACACCTGGAGGTTCGGTGGGGCAGGGCTGGAGTGCACAGGTCTGCTTGTTAACAGGTTTGGTCAAAGGGTCGCATCCACGAACAAGCTCTCTTCCCTGATAACACTTCACATCTCTCATTCGCACACCGACACCACAAGTCTTGGTGCACTGGGAAACAGTTGAGTACAAGCAAGGACAAAGAACAGGTTGGGAACCTTCACTGGACAGAGAGGCTCAAGAAGAAAATGTGTTGTATCTTAAAACCTAGCAAACTCACTTGGCTTAATGTAAATGCCTACACGGGCAGCGGTCTGACAGACATAAATACTGGCTGTTTGTGGCATCATAAACTGAATACATGTTTAAATGTTTCACCTCAGACCATGGCGTTGTGTACCACTTGAAGCAAGGCCTCTCAAAGCAGGTGTCCTCATCTACTGCTCGCTTGCTGCTGTCACATTCCTCGTCCTCGTTGATCTGGACCTTCCCACCCGTGATGCCGGCACACAGCACGATCCTTCTCTTCACACCGCGTCCACATGTTGTGTTGCACTGGGAGGCCGAAGACAATGATTACTGGAGAGATATTGACAAATTATTCATTTTCCATACATATAAGTGTCATCTTCACCCTCTCCCAGTCTTGGGCCAGCCAGTGTGGAGGGCATTCGTTGTCTCCGCAGGGATGAATGGCCAGAGGTTTGTTCTCAGGTGAGCACTGAGACTCAGGTACCACACGGCCCTCTGGTGTTTTGCAGTACACATGCCGCACTGTTTTTCCATGCCCACAGATGCCTGAACACTGCGTAGAAAAGGAAGAACA